CCATAGTTTTGACAGGAATGGATCATTTGACTAACATGGAAAAAAAGGCTAACCATAAATAATTTTGTGTGACATGCAGGCAGATTATCTTGCTTTTATTTGGATGCACTACTGCTTTAATGAAAACAGGTAAAAGTACCAGTTACTCCATTTGCTTTTTTGTTTTCAAATATCTGAATAATCAAATTTAATGAAGTTTACTGAATATTTGTTGCAGCCCCACTATGTTTGGTCACTACCTGCCACTGAACTGCTCAAATCTGCATGAAAGAGAAAGTGTCATGGATTGTATGCAGACGAGTATCGTTTGTGCGTTGGATCTGAAGCTCAGGCTGTTCTCCTTACTCTACAACAATGCATGGAAAAGTGCTGTATGAGAGCATCCAGGCTCCAGAAACCTCCTTGCATATACACACACTCACATAAGCACACAGCTTCCTGCTGGCCCCAGATTGGTAACTAGTCCTGTGAGATCACTTCCTCTGAAGGGTGTTCAGCTTTTACTGATTTTCAGAGGTGTGCTTGCTGCTGTTATCACTCTCAACATTGAAAATGCAAAACTAAATAAATAAACATGAAAATAACAAATCATCCATTGATAAACTTAACTGCATTAAAGATATGAGTGAGTGACATCATAGATATCTTACAGCTGTCACAATTACTTATAAGCATACTCTAATAATAAGCAGCTTTGGCTGAAGTGCTGTTGCATCAAATACTGACCTCAGTTTAAAGCCCTGCCTCTAAGCTGCATACAGGCATGTTTACCAACTGTAGAGTTTAAAACTTAATTAGGGAGTGGGATTTAGCCATGGCAGTACATGTTGAAAGTGTGTATGTTACATGTGTCAGTGTTTAAAAATATATATATATAAAATAACAAGAGAGCAAGATTGACAAGAGAGACAGAGAGAAAGGGAGCAAGAGTGAGAGAGAGAGAAAGAAAGAAAGAGAGAGAGAGAGCAGGCAGGATGTGGTAAGCAATGCGTAGAGCAGAAAATCTGCAGTCGAGTTTCTTCCCATACCTATGGGAAGCAAAATTGTAGGAAACGCTAGAAAGGTGTCTGTATCCAAAAGTCTGTAGAAGTATGAACAAAAGCTGCAAAAACACATATATTGATAGTTGGTTATTTATATGAATTAATGGACTAATTATCATTTTCGGCATTCGGCTTAAATGTGGCCAAAAATGTAAAGACCTGTAACAATAAAATGTTTGGCAATGTTCTGACATATTGAAGTACTGTTCACCAGGAAATAAATTACCACCATCGAAAAAAAATGGTACTTTGCTTAAGCCTGCCCATAAATTTGACCTACACTAAATATACTTAAATGCTTGGTTAACCCTTTCAGGTGCCAGTATTCATATACTGAAATCACTATTCAGGTACTCAAAAATACAAGCTAACAATTTAATGAAACATGACTGTTTTGCTTATATTTATGAGTACAGTTTGGGTGCCAAGCGTTCTTACTAAACTGGGAAGATCTGCTTTTAGCTACAGTGCACCAGTGGAAACTCTATTTACAGGAAACTCTAAAGCTTTGCTTGCTGCTGTCACATGAACATTTTAAACTTTTTAAACTGACCACTTCCACTCAGCCTGCAAATGTTTTATTTGATTTTAGTTAACTTTTCTAATGTGATTTTGGTTTGTTTTTGGTATTGTTTTACATGTATGCTTCTTTTTATTTCCTATGAACTTTTACTTACTAGTTTCTGCTTATTTATTGTTTTACATTTTCCATTCTTTTATTTACTTATCAACATTTTTATTTAATCCCTATTTGATACGTCATTTATTATGTTATTTAAAATGTTTACAATTTTATCTGTTTATTCTCCTAAATTTTACTATTTTAAAGATTTTTATTTGACATTTTTTTTTATTTTTAGCATTTGGTTTGTTTTTACAATCTAATTTTTTTTTAACCTCTCCGATATATTTAATCCTCAATTTCTGAATAGGCTCGGCTACTTTGTAAATGAGGGTCAACCTTAATGCATTTTGATTTCAAATAAAGGTAGACTGATTGATTGACATATGCTATACTTTGCTACTCTGAAATATGAGTGCCTGAACATTAGTTCAACACCAAAGACACACTGTTTAGGACTGAGAAGGCAGAAATAGTGCAGCTGCATCTCTAACTAGGCTAGCTGCTCTAGCTGATGTTAGCTAGGTCCATCAACAATGAAGAATGTATTTCTCTGACAAATGATATAGCACATCATCCAATGAGGAAAACACATTGTGTAGAAGAGAAGATGATGAGTCCTCATCATCCAATGTGACACTTGTTAGCTTTGCTTGTTCATCTGAAGATGCAGCCTTCTTTACTCATCCAATACTTTTGATTTCCCTTGGCTGTTTTTGAATAATAAAAGTTGTTAAAGTTATAAAAAAGGCCATAGATTATTTTTGACCAAAGTTCATTTTTTTGTTTATTTTTTTTCCTTTGGTGTTGTTTTTCTTCCCTGTTGTTAACCAGATATCCATTCATGAATTCATCCAGATCCTCAAATGTTAAAATCAGTTGGAACAGAATAATCCCTAACAGTAAGCTTTGTGCGACTAGGTTTCCAGGGCGAGCTGATGACATTTTTTCCATGTGAAAACTATGTTTACGAAATGAGTTGTATTTCAAGGTAAATAACCAGCTGTACATCATTATCTAGCTAATGTATGCAACACTGAAAGAATAAGCTCGCTAATGTGGTTTTTGTAGCCTACTGAATACATCTAATCAACAGAAACTGATATAGCTTAGGTTATTCCAGTGACTAATGTTGGTAATGTAACATAATGCACTTTAGTGATTTTTGTAAGGGTAAAGTTAGCTCATTCTGACAAATCACTAATAGTGCAAACTACAGGTCTTCAGTTCAGTTTTTCAGAACACCAGCATGAAGAGAAAGCTACCATTTAATGAACGTACTAATGCTACCGAATCAACGCCAGCATGTTTTCTTTCCCGGTGGTGGAAAATAATGTTGTATTTCTGTGGAAAGTTACATCAGACTTGCATATACTACTGTATATGACTACTTTAACCTTCATCTTAAGAAAGTGGTCCCAGATATCTGCTAACAAAGGCATGACACTGTAAATGAACTGCTGCCCTCAAGGTTAAGCCACTAACTCATTCTAAGTTAGACATCGTAAAACGCTAACCTAACAAAAGAAAAAATTGTTTGTTTTTTTTAATTGTCAACAGTTTTGATAATATCAAATAATTATTTCAGTGTGAAGAGTGCCTGTGTTCATGATATGCACTTGCCTGCTGCTTCTGATAAAAAAAATCAGATAACTGTTTACTCGTTCTGCAAATCCGTACTTGGGTGTGGTGTGAGGATGTGTACAAGGCACCAATCCAAAATATCCCTCTTTTTGTTCATATCCAGCACAGACCTCTCGCTACCCATGCGTACTTCATCAAACATTTACAGTGCAGAAAAGCAAACGATATACATACCACTTCAGTTTCAAATGCAAAATAACAAAACACTGTCACTACACCCTTAATACTTTTATTAAAAATGTTTGTGTGCACACACATCACTTTGGTTTGGGAGCACCACAAACAGTTCTGTTTCACATCTCAGCTTACAAAAGAACACTACCCTAAAAAGCACGACTGGATCATTAAAAATATACAAGCATACAGTCTCAAAAAAATCCCCTTTGAAAAAGCAACCCCCACATTTCAAACTGCTTCAGTCTGAATATAAGCCATATTAAAAGCTATTTAATCAATACTAGCCATTCTTTGAGACGTCAAGTTTATGATGAGTTGACGTTCTTCATCATTCTCTGATAATGTTAACAGTTTTCTTTTTAACCATTCACACTAATAACAATTAACTGAGCCCTCATGTCCATCAAACTTCAAGAACAGATGAGCTAACACAGTATAAAGGAGTCTGTAGGAGACAGTTGTAAAAGAACATGTAGTTATAAATATTGCATATATTACCATCACACAGTGTACCTATGAGGAAAATGGGGCATTTTGCAAGATCAAAATAATACTAAGAGGGTTGGTCCTTTCGTGGCCCTCTGTGGTCCTATGATGTCGTAGCCATACATTAAGCAATTTCCTTGAACTTGACAAGAACAGTCAACGCAAATCATTTATTAATTCATCCAGATAAGCACAGGTAAACATTTATCTATATTTGTCTTTTGCCTGCGTAAGCTACGTTGGACAGCTGTTTACATATCTGTAGCTTAACTAGGAGGTTTAAGTCAAGAACAATGATGTATATACGTTATATACGTACTGTATATATAGATCGAAGTCTCCGATATCTGCGAAAATACCATAAATAACAAAATAGTCCATGACGCTTGGCACGGACGTGACGTTAAATGTGTATAGGATCTGTAATTATTTGGCTTTTTACAATTTAGGCTGAGCAATGCAGCTCTTGTTAGTAGGAGCGAAGCGAACCTTTAACACAATAGGAGAGAAAAAACATACACATCAACACACTAGAGACATGACATAACCTAACAGCAGCAGGAAAACGAAGGAGAGAGGCACATCCGCTAGGTATCAGCCGCCTGCAGAGAATTTTTACCATACACATATGCAAGCGCACGATAAAGGATTCGGCGGTGCTCTGCGACTGGAGGAATTGACTGTATCACGGTGGTGGTGGTTGCCTAACTGGAACAGAACTAAAGAAGACACTGTAGCAAAATACTGCCACAACACCCTCTAAAACGCCTTTATCAACATATGATGCACCCGAAAATTAGGTAGTCACATCTTTGAGTCGCCGAGTATTCTCACGCGGAGAAGCGCATGCAGTTAAAAAGCAAGGAGATACTTAGGCTCGTAAACCATTCTAATCGCTCTACTGGCCACTGCTGTTACAGCATGCATAACTAATCAAACAAGCAAAGAAACAAATTAACTCATTTTTCTCCACGTTTACGTCTAAACGACCTAACGTAGGGTGGATCACTGTTTATAGGGGTACTTACCGTCCACTGTTCATTACGTTGCCTAAAGCTGCTACTCCAAATTTAGTAACCGACAAAACAAGCCAGGTTGCTCACGTTGGCTTTGCAAGAGATACTTGTATTCTGTGAAGTCAGCCACCAGAAGTGGTTTGAAGAGAAAATGCAATAGTGGCGTCGCTAACGGAGCGTTCCTACGTAACACGTACGTTCCCTGGGAGGGGCCTATGGTAGGCCAAACGTGCCAAAAACTCCCAAAAGCTATCGCCTACATATTTATAATCGAAAAAAACAAACACATAGTGCACTGAATCAGATACAACGTAAGGGAAATACGCTAGGGGAAAATTACTTTTTTATATGTTACATTTCTACGTAAAATATTAATGTAGCCTATACATGTTAACAGCTTGCTTTTTGTTGTAAAGAGGGCTGAATTAATACAGTACGTCCAGCAATAATTTGTTGAATTATCGATGTTCAATCAAATCAATGTTTACACATCAAAGTTAACTTAAATCAATGTGCCAATCTGACCTTAACTCTTAATCACTTTTCCAACCTGAATTATTACTGAAACAACACTTGTTTAACAAAAGGTCAACAGAATATCACCAGTTAACACCAGTTTAACAAAACGTCAACAGAATATCAGCACTACCAAGGCAATTTTGAAAAATTCTACTACTTCAAGTAAAGATCGTGAAAGCCATTCAGCCCTATGTACAGCAAGGATTGCACTGCAAGAACCCAACTGAAAAATTAAACTTTTTAGCCTATTAACACAACAGATAACCTTTAATTAGTTTCAAACACTATGTTCAGTAAATTCATATTTATTGGGTTGCAAGAAAATGAAAAAAAAAAAATCAACAATACAAAAAAAATTACATACCCAAACTGTAAATAATCAACAGTGTTAGGGGTAATAAGATATGATTACTTTTTTTGTAATGAATCAGTGTAATGCATTACATTTTAATTGTAATATTGTAGTCATGTTACAGTTATTGATGTAATAAGAATTACATTACTTGCATTACTCATTGCTTCCAAAACAGCAATAGTATTTAAACATAATGTATTTAAATCATACAGTTCCTCTATATAGATAATCCATGCCGGTCATTGTATGTAATTTGATTGTGCTATCTGCGACTGATGACTGCATAGCTACTATTGTGAATAGATGCAGTGTATATTTGACAAGCAATCTGTCATCTAATTATGCTGATCTGAAACTGATGGATCAGAATCTCCGCACTGAAGAAGAGGGAAACCCAATGTCACCTAAACAGGCCATGCTCAATTTTCATTCAGGAACAGCTTGGTAAGCTTTACATTTTATTTTCAAGGTAACTGTTTTTCAACTATAAATCATTAATATGGAGTTGGTCCCCCCCCTTTACTTCTATAACAACTTCCACTCTTCTGGGGAGGTATTCTACAATATTTGGGAGTGTGTCTGTGAGAATTTTTGCCCATTTATCCAGAAGAGCATTTGTGAGGTCAGACAAGAGGGCCTGTTCTAGTCCCCCCAAGGTGTTCCATGGGGTTGAGGTCAGTGCTTTGTGCAAGCCAGTCAAGTGGTTCCACATTAAGTTCACCCAACCATGGCTTTATGGACCTTGCTTTGTGCAAAGGGCCCAATCATGCTGGAACAGAAAAGGGTCTTTCCCAAACTGTTTCCACAAAGTTGGAAGCATACAACTGTCCAAAATGTCTTGGTATGCTGAAGCACTTTGATGTCCCTTCACTGTAACTAAGAGGCCTAGGCTAACCCCTGAAAAACAACCCCATAGCATTATCCCTCCTCCACCAAACTTTACAGTTGGTACAATGCAGGTAACATTCACCTGGCATTCACCAAACCTAGACTCATCCATCAGACTTCAAGATAGAGAAGCGTGATTTGTCACCCCACAGAATATGTTTTCACTGCTTCAGAGTCCAGTCCATAGTGAATTTATGCTGAAATTTTCAGCATAAATTACTATGGCGGTGTACTTTACACCACTCCATTTGACACTTGGCATTGTGTTTGGTGATGTAAGGCTTGCATGCAGCTGCTCGGCCATGGAAACCCATGCCACTGTGAGCCGGCTGATGAATGCCAGAGGAGGACACTTATTGCAGTTATTGAGTTAGTAGAGCAGTGGTGACTTTTATGCACTATGCGCCTCAGCACTCGGTATCCCCGCTCTGTAATTTTATGTGGTCTGCCACTTCTTGGCTGAGTTGCTCTGGCTCCTAAACACTGTGAAATGTAAATAAAAATCATATAAAGGTGATGTACACATGATTGGGTACAAAAGGAGCAACCAGGTAAGGCCTTGTCCTTTATGAGCAAGGATGGGTCAAGCCTCGCCACTTTTCCAAAAAATGCATCAGCAAATAATCCAACAGTTTATGAACAACATTTCTCAATAAGCAATTGCAACAATCTTAGATATCTCCCCCTTCAAAATGCACAATATCATCAAAACATTTGGGAACTCTGCAGAAAGTGCCTAAAGGAAAAGATCAATACCTACAACTGAATGCCTGTCACCTTCAATCCTTCAGACAGCACTGCATTAAAAAATGGCATGTTTCTTTGATAGATATCAACATATAGTCTAAGGAATACTTTGACAAACAGCTGTAAATAAACGCTGTTCATCTATTTCCACAAATTTCTGCAATTTAAGACTGTACTATGGACAGTGGTACTCTTGTCTGACAAATCAAACTTCAGATTGTTTATGGAAATAAAGGATGTCGCGTCCTCTGAGCCAAAAAAGAAAAGGAATATCCATATTATTACCAGCATAAAAAAATCAAAAAGCCAGGGCATATCATGGTATGGAAGTGAGCAGTGAGTAACTTGCACATCTTTGAAGGCACTATGAATGCTGAAAGATATATACACATTTTCAAGCAACACATGCTACCCTAGAAATGCCATCCTTTTCAAGGAAATCCACGGTAGCAGCAAGCCAATTTCTGCACATATTAAATCAGCATTGCATCATAATCAGAGAGTGCGGGTGCAAGAGACTGCTTTCTGTTTTTATTAGCATTTTATATACTGTCCCGGCTTCTTTGGAATTGGGGTTGTAAATAATGTACTGAAAATGACTAATGTACTGAAAAGGTGTTCTTAGCTACTTTCAATTTGGTACAGAGGTGTATGGGTTTTAGAGAGTACTTTAGAAGTAATTGATAATTAATTAATTTTTCCAAGAAGTAATAAGTAAAGTAATCTAGGGCTGGCATGAACAAATACACAAGTATTGATTTATTATGTTGGTTAAAAAAGGAGTCAAAAAAAGGTCATTAATATTTTGAGCTCATAAAATGATGTTCACAAATAGTTTTACAACATGCAGTTGTATATTACTTTTGTGTTCATGTGAAAATAAATTTGCAGGCATGTACACTATATAGACAAAAGTATTGGGACACATCTAATTGTTGAGTTCAGGTTTCGGCCACACCCATTTCTAACAGGTGGATAAAATTAAGCAATTGACACACACAACATTTCTGTTCTGTTGTGAAATGGAAGCACCTAAAAGCAAGAACAGCTTAGCCACGAGTCGGTAGACCACACAAACTCACAGAGTGGGGCTGGTGAGTGCTGAAGTGCACAGTGCCTATCCTCAGTTGAATTACTCACTAACGAGCAACATCAGCAAATTAACATGTGCATCAGGATCCTAAGATCGAAATGCACAATGCAAAATGGGGGCTTGGGGTGTGGGGGGAGTAGTGTAAAGGTGTAAAGCATGCCAGCATTGGACTCTGGAGCAGTGGAAACATATTCTGTGAAGTGACAAATCACACTTCTCTATCTGGCAGTCTGCTTGACAAGTCTGGGTTTGGCAAATGCCAGGAGAATGTTACCTGTCTGTAATGTTATGGGGCTGTTTTTCAGGGGTTGGCCAAGGCCCCTTAGTTCCAGTAAAGGGAAATCATAATGCTTCAGCATACCAAAACATTTTGGGCAATTCTATGCTTCCAACTTTGTGGGAACAGCTTAGAGAAGGCCTTTTTCTGTTCCAGTATGACTGTGTCCCAGTGCACAAAGCAAGGTCCATAAAGGCATGGTATGGACGAACTTGACTAGCCCGCACAGAGCCTTGACCTCAACCCCATGGAACACCTTAGGGATAATATAGAACAGAGATTGCGAGCCAGGCCCTCTCATCCAACATCCAACGTCCAACATCTGACCTCACATGCTCCCCTGGATGAATGGGCAAAAATTCCCACAGACCAACCCCAAAATCTTGTAGAAAGCTTCCCAGAAGACTGGCAGCTGTTATTAGCTGCAAAGGGGGGACCAAGTCCATATTATTGCCTAGGGTTTAAAATGAGATGTCATAAAAGCTCCTGTGGGTGTAATGTGTAGGTGTCCCAATACTTAAAGTGTCCATAAAGTGTATCTGAATGTGTGAACTTGTATCTCACAAATTCATGTTTTGTGCACACAGATATAATTTCCACATGTTACAAAGACTTTGTTGCTGTAGAGATATTTTGTGAATGTGTAATTAAAAGTCATGCGGTAATATTTTCAGTAGTCTGAGACACAGACACATAAATTTCCTATCTTCGTGTGTGATGCTGCAGTTACAAGCTAGGAGCTACGAAATACTGCCAACTCTGCTGCCTCAGACTACAATTTTCAGAACCCCTTGCTTCTGCCTTGACCTTGATTTTTGCCTTACTCTTTTGTCTTGTTGGGGATTTCTGGTTTTTGACTTTTTGCTCTGGCTTTTAGATTTTGTCTTTGGATCATCCTATTGCTATTAAAGATCTTATGTGCAGCCTTGTCTGCGAGCATCTGTTTCTGTCTGCCACTGTTACAGGATACTTTGCCATCATGCAGACGGTGGACATTGAGGCTGTTAAACAAACAAAGGTCAGCTTAAGGGACATCACCAGCAGATATTGGCAGGGGTTACTCAGTCTGTTGGGACCTCACACAACAACAAGCCTCTCTGTTTGCTCACCTCACTCTGTATCTGTCCCACTCTCTCCTACTACGTAAACCACTACAGTGAATATTAATTCAGTTTTTCCAGTCTGTAAGCCGATAAATTTGATGGATCCTGACAAATGTCGAGGTTTTCTGCTACAGTGCTCTGTGTTTTTCAGTAACTCCCCGTCTAGTTCTGATCAGGCTA